GTTATTATATACTCAGCTACGTTTAAGCACCACGTAAACTTGACAACAGCGCATGGTGCCATAATACCACTTGAAATATATATACTGGTGCCACAACCTTCTTCAATTAGATGGTGCCTTAATGACGATAATTATAACACTGGTGCCACAACTACATTAGACTTAACAGGTGCCACAATGCATTTAAAGTAGTTATATATATATATATATATACATCCCACTATCATTTTGGCATCCTTTCATAACACCTTAATTTGGCGTCCAGTAGAAAGAAACCTATTTTTAAATATTTAGCCGTGTATATAAATCCGGCGCATTTTTTAATACATGAAACTCATCTTAGATTTTTAGTAGCGTAAAGTTTACTATATACGCGACTTTTACACTAAAACGCATTTTGGCGTCCGTACAAAAAAAAATTAAAAGTAAAATCATTGCGACTACCAGCAACGTTGCCAAGTTTCTTAAAAGAAAATCCAATCATTGTAACGTCACATATTGTAGATATACACAGACGATGCATCAACCATTATTTAAAACCCCAACGTTTAACATAATTACATATTATCATTAGTATATCTGAAAGCTTTTAATAATATCATCCTTTTAACGTCCTGTACCTAATGTATATAACATAATATGTTTAAATATATTAATCACTATGGCGTCCTCTTAGTTATTTTTAAAAACCGATCATTCTAGCGTCAACGTATATGAAAAACATTTTACCTTGATAATCATTTTGGCGTCTCTATCATGCAGTGTATATAAAATATATTTAAAATGTTCAATCATTTCGGCGTCTCGCTAGTTTTCTTTTAAAACATTCTAACGTCCACATATACATATATGAGAAACACTTCACCTTATAATCATTTTGGCGTCTCCATCATGCAGTGTTTATACAATATATTTAAATTTTGCAGTCATTATGACATCTTACTAATTTCCTTTTAAAACCGATTATTTTGACGTCCACATATACAAATATAAGAAACACTTTACCTTTATAATCATTTCGGCGTCTCGCTAGTTTTCTTTTTAAACCGGTCATTCTAACGTCCACATAATACATTTGGGAAACACGTCACATTTACAATCAATTTGGAATCTCCAAAGTGGAGGTAGGAATGTTAGTAGATCAACCTAAAATTTTCAAGAGAAATCAAGCCGAATCAGAGAAGTCTATAGATTTTGAAAAAAATCTGGTAAGAATTGGGAAACTTAAAAAAAAAATCATAAATCAAAAACTAAAATCAATATCCACTTGAAATTTCTAGGAAAAATCAAGCTCTTTTAGAAGACGAAGCCTATTCATTTTGAAAAAAATTGTTTTAAAATTGGGGGTTTAAGGGGGGATTGAAACAAGATCTATAGGCGGACGAAGCCTATAATAAAAAATGGGGGTTAATGGTAGTTGAAATAAAAATATCGTAAATCAAAATTGAAAAACGATATCAACTTAAACTTTTTAGGAAAAATCAAGTTCTATAAGGGGACGAAGCCTTGTGATTTTGAAAAAAATCTGAATAAAAATGGAGAGTTTAAGGGGGATTGAAACTTAAAAAATAAAACAAATCAAAAACTAAAATCAATATTAATTTGAAATTTTCAGGAAAATCAAGCTTTATCAGTTTTATTGATTTTGAAAAAATTTATTAAAAATGGGGGTTTAAGAGGGAGTTAAAACAAAAACAAAATTAAAATCAAATGAAAAACGAAAAACAATATAAACTTGAAATTTTCACTAAAAATCAAGATCTATAGGGGGACGAATTCTATTGATTTTAAAAAAAAATCTGAATAAAAATGGGTGGTTAAGGGAAGATAAAATTAAAAAAAAAATCAAAAACGAAAAACGATATCAATTTAATTTTTTTTGGAAAAAATTAAGCTCTATAAGGGGACGAAGCCTATTGATTTTTAAAAAATCTGTATAAAAAGAGGGGGGTTAAGGAGGTTTAAATTTAAAAAATCCGAAAATTAAAAACTAAAAACAATATCAACTTAAAATTTTTAGGACTAAACAAGCTCTATATGGGAATGTATTCAAATAATCGTTACTCTAATAATTGACATTGCTTGGCAAATAGTTGTTGAATATTGCATATTATGTGTAACCGAGGTGAACCCTTAACGCATAAATATTATTATTAAATTTGGGTATTTAATTGTAATTTTTTCATTATTTACCCCCAACCAAAGTGTCTGTTAATATTACTTTATTAGGTTAGGTTAGGTATTATACTCGTAGGTAAGGTAACGATTTATTAGCAAGAGATAATCATTTATAGCATAGCCGCTTGAGTCATCATGAAGATGAATTTGGTTTAGCTGTTTGGAGTTTTATAGTAAACCGTTACTTGGAATTGTTGGATATGAGTAAACTCCTGGCACTCATTTACATACAATACTTTTGCTACGACTCGCCTCCTTCTTCACTGGCATTTAACTGTCGATTGTAGAAAATTTCACCTCATTTGCTTAGGCAAGGAAAATAGGTGGCATTTTTGTTTGAAATAGCATGAGTACCGGTTTTAAACAAAATAAATACATTACCGTTGTTATTATCATTCTAAATTTATTAACAAAAGTTTTACACTTTAACTAGCTATAAATGAATGTATTAATTTACCAATTTGTTTTGTCGTGTAAATCATTTTTAAGTTTCTAACACGTGTTGTAGTATAAGTATCAAATTTATAGGTTCTATATAGAGAATAATTATATATAATACAAAACTTTTGTTTTTAAAGGTAAAATTTATTATTTTAAGGCTTTTTGTTCTTTTATGGCTTTAAAACGGACCACTTGAGTAAATTGCTAACATTGGAAAATTGGGAAACTTAAAAAAAAAATTAAAAATCAAAAACTAAAACCAATAGCCACTTGAAATTTATAAGAAAAATCGAGCTCTTTTAGAGGACGAAGCCTATTGATTTTGAAAAACATTGTTTTAAAATTGGGGGATTGAAACTTAAAAAAAAAATCATAAATCAAAAACGAAAAACAATATAAACTTGAAATTTTCAGAAAAATCAAGATCTATAGGCGGACGAAGCCTATTTATTTAAAAATAAAAATGGGGGTTGAAGGTAGTTAAAATAAAAAAATCGTAAATTAAAATTGAAAAATGAGAAACGATATCAACTTGAAATTTTTAGGAAAAATCAAATTCTATAAGGGTACGAAGCCTTTTGATTTTAAAAAAACCTAAATAAAAATTGCGGGTTTAAGGCGGGTTGAAACTTAAAAAATAAAACAAATCAAAAACTAAAAACAATTTTAATTTGAAATTTTCAGGAAAATCAAGCTTTTTCAGAGGACGAAGCCTATTGATTTTGAAAAATCAGAATAAAAATGGGTGGTTAAGGGGAGTTGAAATTAAAAAAAAAATCAAAAATGAAAAACGATACCAACTTAATTTGTTTTGGAAAAATTAGGCTCTCTAAGGGGACGAAGCCTATTGATTTTTAAAAAATCTGATTAAAAAGAGGGGAATAAGGAAGGTTGAAATTAAAAAATCCCAAAATTAAAAACGAGAAACGATATAAACTTAAAATTTTTAGGACTAAAGAAGTTCTATATGGAAATGTATTTAAATAATCGTTACTCTAATAATTGACATTTTTTGGCAAATAGTTGTTGAATGTTGCATATTATATGTAACCGAGGTTAAACCTTATTATAATACTTATTATAATACTTATTATAATACTTGTTATAATACCCATTAATTACAATACTTATTATAATATTATTGCCAAAAGTCAATAAAGCCATGTATTACTGTAGCGATTTGCAAGAGTAAATAAAATGAAAATATTTTACCTATTGTTTTATACATAAGATATTAAAGAATTAATATTTTTCAATTATTCTGACCTAGTGGGGGTGAGTAGGGGTGGGTTAAGGAGAAATTCAGTAAATTTAACAAAATAAATTACATGTTTTCAAATAATATATTCAAGTTGTTTCATTTTAATTAATGCAAATCTTAAATAAAATTATTTTTTTATAATTATGCTTTACATTTTAAATTTTTACCAATTGTTACATTCATTCAAAATAAACACGAAAATAAAAAAAATGAAAAATATTGTAACAGTCAGTTACAGGATATGTCGAAATTAATTTATTTAAATTTTTTAATCAGTAAAATCTTGGAAGCCAAATTGATGCAAATAACGATACTTCTATATGGACGTCAAAAAGACGTATATAATAAAAATATGTTTACATAATGCTAATACTTCGTTTGGCTCTAAGTTTATTTCATAGACGGAAATAAATATTAAAACTGTTTTAACAGTGTTGCCACATTTCGGATGCCAGTAGGATTATAAATGAAAGAAACATGTATATAAGATATACATGACACTAGCGCTAAAACGGCAAAATGCTGAACTAAGTTTGTATATTTCACTTTCATATTCCTAACAATTTGAAGTCCAGTGATCCTTGAAATAATCTAATATAACTCAGCACTGAATAGAATAAGATGGATAATAAAAGAATAGGTCAATGTACAGATCGCACGGATTAGACTGGAAGGCAAAAAGTGCGTTAATTTCTACTGTGGACCAAATTATTAGGAGAAAACAAAGTGACGTCCATATACGGACGCCACTTTGCAAAGAGATGCTACAATGTTGGGAATTTAATAATAAACGGATGCCAAAACGATAGGATGATGTATATATATATATATATATATATATATATATATATATATATATATATATATATATATGTATATATATTTATATATATATATATATATATATATATTTTGCTCATAAAAAGAGTAGGCCTAAATGGATTTCTTATCATTTTTGTCCTAGCATGTTCTGTGACAAGTCACGTTTTAAGATAGTTCTATTCTTCATCAGTAAGTTGTAATCGTATTAATCAAAAATGTTTTCTTACGGTTACTAAAATTATATAAAATTTACTTCCAATAAGAGATGGAGTTTTCATTGACTTTTATTTTGTTTCAGCGAAATTACTGAGAATCTCAGAATTGCTGTCAACGAAGTTCGAGAAAAACTACCAAACTTTGAACCTGGACTGGCAATCTTGCAAGTAGGAGACCGTGAAGACTCCAATGTATATATTCGTCAAAAAATTTTAAATGCTTCGAAAATTGGAATTAAAGCCGAACACATCAAATTACCTACAAGCGTCACAGAAAGAGAGGTAAATGTAACTAATATTTTTACACACATAATATTGCCACGATACGAGATATTTTTTAAATAAATATCATAGTTTACGTCCTTTTGAATAATATTACTATTTACGCACTCTATAAATAAAGGTGTGATTAAATCAGTATTTCTGTTATATGTAATCTGTCATAATTTCGAGTTTAATAATAAAAATGCAACTAGTTACGTCCCAAGGGGTTAAACGATAAATGTCTTTAATACTAGCATCAATAGTGTAAGTACTATTACTCTAAACCTGGCTTCATATCCCTTAAATATAAGTTCTTAAACATCTATGTTTATAAAATTTGCTGCAATATTTTTTGAAATAAAAACGTCTAAGAGATCAAGTATTTTGTTTATATTGCTTGGCCAATAGGTATGTCTTCCCGTGGAGTGTCACCTACATTTCTGATCTTTGATAGCCCTATTCAGTTCTTTTCCTTTGGGGTTGTAGTAGGTCTTGTATTCCAGTAGATATTTTTTGCTTTAAAATTAGCATGAATTCACAGTACACATTCTATATAGGTACTTGCTCCAGATTTTTGACTTTACCCGACTGGAGCCTACCGACTTAAAACAAGTCATACCTAACTCAACCATGGTCCCCATCAGGTGTGGTTTGTACAATGAACTAAAACTTAGGCATGAGTAGCAATACATTTATCTGGGTCGCAGTGCAATGTACTTATTTTTAACTTAACCTACATTAAATATTCTAACGTTTCTTATAATGTGTTTAACACATAATAAAAGATTAGTAAACATATTTGGCATAATAAAACTAGTTTGATTGAACACTATGAACAGAGTTCCACGGTATTGAAACATTCCACAATCAAACTCATATCGGTTGTATCCAATGAACCAGAAAAAATCACATGTATCATAATAACATTACCTCTTTTATTAAAGTTTATAGTATTGTGTAACTAAACTCGAGATAAAGACAAACGTCTTTCCAAAATGTTATCTTATATTTGCAATTAATTATTATAAATATTATGACTTAGCAATCACTATTTTTACAATAAATAAGAATGCAAACATATTTCCCCCTCTTACCCTATTGTGATGCAATGCATTGTACCTATCTGTTAACTTTTTATTAATATACAAGATGGAAATAAAAATTCCATTGGCTTTGAAGATTTATTTTACGAAATAAATTGGTTGGTGATAAAAGTTAACTAACACTATCTACAAAAATAAAAAACATGATAAAAATTCAAAGACTGTGACACAAAAACGTCGAGCGACTGTTTTATTCGAGAACACAATTACTCATTTAGCTAATACCGCAATAGGCATTGCATTTTGTCAAAAGAAAAACTGCAGAGAGAAAATTATTATCAACACTAACTTTAATTTTGGTTACTAAGGAGCACGTCGTTCTTGGACCGGTTAGGACTTATCAGCAATCTCCTCGTACTTATGTTTGTACATTTGTTAACCATGACGTTATTTGATTGTAAAAGCATACTAGCCGGTTTTTGTCTTCTACTTTTATCTGAACTGAAAACAACAATGTTAGTTTAATTTCTTCTGCATTTAAGATTAATTTATTTTGTTCAAACTATTTTTTGTTCTATTTAAGTAAATAATCCTTTCACTATTCTAAAAGTTCGTTTTTCTACATATTATTATGATACGCTTATGAGATATATAAAATTTGTATCGTTAACAAAATTTACAGTACCTATCTACCTATTTTGAATTATGTTGGATACATTATTTAAATAAATTATGAATAATGTTACGCAGCACCCTGCAGTAGCCTGCGGCTATTATGGGAAACGTACAGATAGGAAAAAAAGTGGAATGTTACTCATCGCCCTACAGTGTGCTGCGGTCGTCATAAGTAAAAGTACAAGTAAAAGAAATGTCATTACCCGTCAAGAATATTCTAGACGTCAGTTCGCGAAGGTTCGAGAAGGGTCAAGCAAGCTATATAAGGATGATCCTGACATCAGTTTGGAGTTTTATGATAGATGTTACATGTTAATGTTATCAGTTGAATAGTTGTTGTAAAAGTTGAGTTCAAATAAATTGAGGAAGAGGAGAGAGTAAGGCGAAAAGAGGAAAAGGAAAGGCGTAGGAAGGAAGAAGAGGAGGAGAGAGTGCGGCGAGAAGAGGAAAAGGAAAGGCGTAGGAAGGAAGAAGAGGAGGAAAAGGAATGGCGAGAAAAGAAGAAGGAAAGACGAAGGAAGGAAGAAGAGGAGGAAAAAGAAAGGCGTAGGAAGGAAGAGGAAAAAGAGAAGGAGGAAAGGCGTAGGAAAGCAGAGGTAGAAAAATGGTTTGATACAAATTCAGCAAAAGTTCAAGCATGAGATTGATCAGCTCAAAATTAGAGTGGATCTTTTAGAACAACAACAAGAGCATTTAAAAACTAATCTAGAACAGCAGCAAGAGCATTTAAAACTAATTTAGAACAACAACGAGATAATTTAAAATAACAGGAAAAGGCTAAAGTTGAGTTCTAAAGGCAAATTAGAACTGAACTAGTTGAATTAGAAAGAATAATTCGTAGCCTGGCTTCGATAAGCAACAGAGAAGCTAAAAACACTACCTCGTCCTCATCTGTAATTGAATCAAGCCATATTCAACACCCAATTTCACAAATCCATACTAGCAAGACCCTTAAGCCACCCACGTTTGACGGTCAGACAATATGGGAATCATATCGACTCCAATTTGAAGCTGCAGCTAGAGCCAATGGCTGGACCTAGAAAGAGATGGCGGCTTCATTGATAGGGTCACTGCGAGGTCAGGCAGTAACCGTTTTACAGTTACTTCCTCAAGAGGAACTCAGTTATTCTCTCTCGTCCAAGCTGTGGAGACAAGATATGGCCAGCAGCAATTGCAACGGGTATTCCAAAGCCAGCTAAAGGTAGTCAGAGACATAATGAAAGTCCACAGGAATTCGAGGCTGACATAAGAAGGTTGATTCATCTGGCCTATCCACAGGTGCCGAAAGATTTCCAAGAACAACTCGGAATGCAAACAGTCATTGATGTACTACAAGATGTGGAAATGCAGCAAGTCCTTCGTCTAAAACATCACAAGACGCTGAGGGAGAAACTGATTGCAGCCCAGGAATATGAAGCAATAAAACTCCTATCCAGATGTTCTTGCGAAAAAGTAAGGGAAATTAAATCCCAGGAAAGTGAGGAGGCCAATACTAATGTTATTTCCCAAATCTTAAATATCCTACGAAATATGCATCGAAACACCCAAAATGGAAGCAGGAGATGCTTCAATTGCGGAAGAGTCGGACACCTTCAAAGAACCTGTAGAAGCATGGCCCATTCTATAAATCGAGAATCAGCGAATGAGACCAGAAAATCATATGGATCAATCTTTCCAAGCCCATCACTAAGACCAACAAGAATTAATTATAGCAGCTATGCGTCCCGAAGAAGCCAATCACCCACACCGAGCCGGCTTTCTAACAATAACCAGAAAGTAGAGCATCGAGGAGGTCTCCATAGCAATGCCAGGCATTCTCTTTGGGCAACTTCGTTTAGAGAAACAATGCTGGTATGGTAAAAGGATCGAAGAACAAGAAGAACCGGTTGATAAAGTTACTCTTCGGGCCACCACTATCAATCCGGAGGGTGACGAAGAAGAAATCACCCTTGAAAGTCTGAGACAGGGACAGAAGAAAGACAAGGACTTAAAGGTTGTCCGAGATTGGCTCAAAAATAAAGTCACACCTACTTGGAAAGAGATAGCCAAATACAGTAGAACTATAAAAGGCTACTGGACCCAGTGGGATTCCCTGTATCTTCACGATGGCCTATTGCACCAGAAGTGGGAGAGCCTCGATGGAGTACATGTAGTCCGCTAAGTGATACTGCCGAGGTCACAGGTGAGAAAAGTATTGGAGAAGCTTCACAGGAGCCGTTCAGGAGGATACTTTGATACTAAAAGGACACTGGCACGAGTTCGGGAAAGATTTTGTTGGGTCAATTGCAGACGGGATGTAGCGGATTGGTGTAAAAAAATGTGATGTATGCAATGGCAGAACAAAGGTCTATGGATTCGCTCGGGAACGATTGAAAGCCCACACCAATAAAGCAGAAGCTAGAATCGACAGGCGTGCCACAGATACACATTTTGAGAGGGGCGACAAGGTATGGTTGAGCAATCCCAAGCAGCGAGGAGGACTTCGTAAGAAATCGCAGCGGAACTGGGAAGGCCTCTACTTCGTCTTTAAGGAAAATCAACGAACTGATCTGTCGCATTCAACTGTCAGCTGGAAGTAAATTCAACGTATTTCACATTGGGAAGATAACTCCATTCCATGGTCCAGATCCTCTCCATTAGTTCCAATTAGGTCCCAGTAGTCAAGTTTTTCGGGGAGAATAACTAGAGAGGAGGGAGCAATGTTACGCAGCACCCTGCAGTAGCCTGCGGCTATTATAGGAAACGTACAGATAGAAAAAGAAGTGGAATCTTACTCATCGCCCTACAGTGTGCTGCGGTCGTCATAAGTAAAAGTACAAGTAAAAGAAGATAGAATAGTCCAGAAATGTCATTACCCGTCAAGAATATTCTAGACGTCAGTTCGCGAAGGTTCGAGAGCTATATAAGCTATAAGCTATATAAGGATGATCCTGACGTCAGTTTGGAGTTTTATGATAAGCGTTACATGTTAATGTTATCAGTTGAATAGTTGTTGTAAAAGTTGAGTTTAAATATATTGAGATAGCAATAACCTTGTGTAACAATAATAAGGATTAGCTTCGAAAGCAGAGGGATCCACTCAGACTACCTAGATTGTTATTATATCCTGTCTATTTTTGTCAAAGTTATTTATATTGTCATATTACTTCTAAGCGCACTTCTAGTTTTTAAAGCCATAAAGCCTAGTTTTCTCAAAGGTTTTTGATTACAATGAGTGCAATGGTCCTTGTTGAACTATTTCTTATTGAGATATTCGTAAACCTTTATCAAGTAGTACCATTTCAATTGTCTTTCAAATAGTGCTGTTTTCCCTGTTCTTTCAGGATTATATTATGCAGTAATACGACTAATCGCATAAGCATAAGTCTAAGTAAGTTTATTCAACTTTATAAATTATTATGCCATCCTGGAAGAGCATGAATGACTAACTGGATTCGTTATATTTTGGAAGAAGTAAACAAAATGTCCTCTTCGTGCACAGCACGTGACAAAGTTCATTTCTACTTCAATGTCTAAATTTCGTTTTTAATATGAAAATTTCGAAAAAAAATACATAATGTGATGCCTTTACAAATTTCCTAAATCTGACTAGTAATCAAAATTTGCAAAAACTAAATAATATTTTTTGATTTCAGGTTTTAAATAGGCTCGAAGAATTAAACAACAATCCTAATGTCCATGGAATTATTGTGCAGATGCCACTTCAGTCTGATAACAAAATTAATTCAAATTTAGTAACTGATTCGGTATCACCAGCAAAAGATGTTGATGGGTAAAATTATTAGTAATTTTTCTAGCTCGTTTTTATAATAATTATATAAATGATGAATTTGCATTGATCCATATACAATTTCATTAATATATTTATTTCATTTAACAATAAATATAAAAGTTTTACTTTCTTATAAAGAATATAACGAACAAACCCGAGAGGTCAATTTGCACCAAGAAATTATTATTTTATTTTAATTTGTAGATTAAATACTATTAACGAAGGACGGGTGGCCATTGGTGAGTTGAATTGTTTCCTGCCTTGTACTCCTCATGGTGTTATTGAACTAATAAAGAGAAGCGGAGTACTTATTGCAGGAGCCAATGCTGTAGTTCTAGGAAGAAGTAAAATTGTCGGCACCCCAACGGCAGAACTACTCAAATGGAATCACGCTACAGTTACTGTTTGTCATTCCAAAACTAAAGATTTGAAAGAGCAGGTATGTTAAAAAATATGATTTTAGTGTGAGTAATTATTGAATAATTTCAGTGTCGAAAAGCAGATATTTTAGTCGTTGCTATTGGACAACCTGAGCTTGTTAAAGGAGATTGGATAAAACCAGGTGCTGTTGTTATTGACTGCGGCATCTCTGCTATTCCAGGTAAGCTAACAAAGTTAACTAAATATAATTTATACCGTTCTGGTACTTATTCGATTCATTGCCGATAACAGTTCTCTACATAATTATATACAATAGGAATCGATTTTTTTAACAAGGAATTTTTTTTTGATCGTGGAAAACCAAGATGCTTCCTCTTCGTGATTTACTCTTTTGTTTCGGGATCATAGTGATGGACCCACGTTTCGTTCATGTGCCTATGCTGTGGTAATAAGCCGATACAAAAAGTTTTAAAAATTGTTTTTAAAACAATGTGAAACACAAGCATTCATAGAAAATATGCAATGCTTCTGCTATACGCTTCGGTCCAATTCGCCGATCTTCTAAAATTATGTCCATAATTTTTTCTGGAATGGTCTCAGAAATATGTTCTTTAACATTTGATCTTCCTCTTTTAATTTCTGCAACTCAGATTTTAAAGGTGGCATATAAAGGACACTGATTACCTAAAGTTTCTGTCATATCAGCAAAAATAAGTTTGTCCGATAATTCTTTTAAAAATAAATACTTAATCGATAAAAACTGAAAATTTTCTGAATAAAAGCGAAGTGCTGTAAAAGTGGGGATATAATGTAACATTCCATAGGCGTACTTTACAAAATAAGTTTCTATAATATAAATAGGGTCACGGCATATAAAATAGTATGTATGCACTTTGTAGATTAAGTATTGAATGAAAAAAGTTATATTATTTACAAAAAAGAAAAAAAAACCTTATACTTCGGATAAAATTGTTGCACTTTATTATTGAACGCTTTAAATTTAACCAATAAATAACAAGGAGGATTATATTTTGTTAATGGGATTGTACTTTTTTCAATCTCTTGGCATTAAAAGTAACATTGCAGTACCTAAAATTAAAGATTACAAAAAATATAAAGTTCAACAACTATCTTTAAAAGTCACTGGCTTCACTATAACTAATGGTATCATTATCATTGTCTTTTTTGAGATTTATTATTATAGGGTCTAATATGTTTGCCATTGCTATATCCACTTTCCAAAATGAATTTTCCACCTTTTTAATATGATCAACGTATCTCTCTGTATCTGTAACGTGTAGAGGGTGAGTTACGCCACGGAACTTAGGCCTCATTGGGCCCATTGTGCATCTTCCTAAGATGATAGGCACCTCCTAGCTCGTGAGCAAGCCTACAGATTTAATGTAGTTGACAACGTCGCCAAGAGGTGCTTCTCTTATATCGGCCGGTGTTAGCCGATACTCGCCGAACACAAATCTTCTAATAAATGAGAGCTTCGAGCAATCGTAAAGGATATGCTCGATGGTCTCTTCTTGTTCGCACTCTCTGCAGAGTGCGGATTCTGACAGCCCCATGATATGGAGATGTTTCCGTAATAAAGTTCACGCTGCTAAGCAACAACAAAACGCAACTGAAATAAGAAGACACGTGTAAACTGTAACTAGTGCGATACTCTTTTGTCATCACTTTAGTTCTCCTTATCTCTACACTACATAGTTGACATCCAGTGATATGACCTTACTCAGTAGATGATAAATGTTAAGGTTCAAAACTCTTTGAGATTCTGGTAAGCATGTAGTTTACATATTCGTAATGCTACCGCAAATGTTTTTTTCAATAAATATGTCATATAAATGGCATTTTACCCTACACGTAGTTAGCCCTGTTGAAATCGGCTTAGTAATAAGGAAGATATAAACTTAGGTCCTTTTGGTGGTGCTTCTGTGCATGCTTTTTTATTATATCTTAAGTCTCTATGAATGTCCTTGAATGCCGCGCGTTTGCCCCATTCGATCCAGTCAAATAATAATGAAGATATACGCTAATGCCCTTTTAATAATACTACTCCAGTATAATTAATAATACAGTAGCGACAGCTTGAGTCGGCTCTTTTTATGTCGGGGTGTTCAGAGTCACAGGCATTCTTACTGGTCATTACCAAGTATTTGTTTGCTGCAGTGTTGTCAGAATAACTTAAGAGCTCCCTGGAAACTCTGCAGTTTCTTGTTTCATCCCATCTTTCCTTGAATGTTCTTTAATTAAGTCTGTCACATTTTGTCAGGCCAATAGAAGGGCCAGGTCCAAAAAGTATTTGGTTGGCCGCTTTCTTAGCTAGTGAATCAGCAAGACGGTTACCTTTCGATCCATCTTAAGGTAACCACATTGTTGATGGATACTTCAGCCAAAGCTTCGTGACATTCTGAGTAAATTCATGGTCTGTTCAGGGTGAGTAGTGCTTGTCTGCTATCTGTATAGAGGAGCATTTTTTTCCAGTTAAATTGTTTCTGGTTATTTCTTTTGCTGCTATGAGAATCCCCGTTAGCTCTGTTTGAACTACACTGGCACTATTGCTCACATCCCATTTTATGTTTAGGTTTAAGAATCTGGAGTATATTCCACATCCTGAGCTTTGTTTTGCTTTAGAACCGTCGCACACAGGGGCAAAAAGCATCACAACTTACCAACAATTCTGGACAGCATTAAAGCTTATACTTTTGTATTCTGTCATGTGTTTAAAGTGTAAATATAAGAAACTAATATCAACAGAGATATTATTGACACTATACAGGATGTCTCATTATAACTGACACCTTTTAAAGTAGATACAGGCTATTCCTTAAAAAGTTGTGAGAAACTCAAGTAGTAAAACAGCTTAGTAGGAGTAGGTATTAGTAGATATATTAATCAATATCTTTTATAATAAAATTATCCCTTCTGAAATTACATTATTTGTTATTAATTAAGTTCAAGAGTGGAAACATAAAGAAAAATAAAACACAACAGAATATTTTGCTACAGAACACACTTCAAACATTATCAAAATACTAAATTAACATTTTTTTTTTTTAATTAAAAGGCTTTTATATTAATATATCGGTGGTTTAACAATGTATCAACTGAAAATATAGACAATAAATTAAGGTCTATAGCTCAATGGAACAATAATTATTTAAAACAAATATTTAATCAAAATTACAATCCAAAGAGTTATCACTATCAGAAACATGACTAATTTGGTCATCAACTTCTGGTGGTAGAAGCATGGATAAACGCTAGAAAAATTATTTCTCTTTAATTTTTGAGTTTTTCTAATACCAGTAATAACAGGATCCGAAGAGTGAAGAAGCCCTTTAAAACATCTCGATATTTTTTAAAATCTTTGTTTCTACTTTCTGCAGCCTCTTCTGGATGCTGGCCAACTGGAAGAAGTACGGAACGAATAATTTCTGCACCTTGATTTAAAATTAAGTGAACTGTTGGCGTCATATAATACCAAGAATATTTATCTATCTATGAGTAATTGTGCTGTTTTCAGGCAATACATGTTAAATAATGATAAATGGTAATTACTGTTTTGTCCAGAGAAGCCATCAGAACCCCATTTGCATATCAACAATAATTTCTTTAGTATTTTTCGATTAAACCTACCCAACATTTCTTTTTGTAATAACAATATTCTCTTGGTAGTGTTGTGAAGTAGGGATTGAAGTTCAACTTCTTCACAAATGGAACTAAATTTTATATTATTGTAGAAGTTTGAGGCTTGCACTTTACCAGATTTTCTAAGCTACATTTGAGCCGCATAACAGATAACCTCGACCGAATTTTCCTTGCGCATATCAACAGTTTTCGCAACTAAATGAAAAATCACTCAAAGGGCGTCCAATTTTTAATTGATCTAAAGCACGTGTTTAGTTGGTAAATACCACTTTGGTATCTAGCCAGGTTTTTATTTGTTTTAGCAAAAACTGACGTAACTCTGCAAGCTTTTGGCCATTTTGTTTTAAAATCAAAAATAATTTTTGAAATTTGGTTTGAAATAATTTGAAACTTGTCAATTGGGCAATTTGTTAAATTTCTTATGTATTCTTTATGATATGTACATTGTCGGTTTTGTTTTCTTGAAGGGCATTTTTTAATCTTTTCCCTCAGATCTCTTCGACTAATTTCTAAGTTCAAATAATCTAAAACAACACAAACATAGAGAGCAAATTTATTTATAATAGAAAAAAATCATTTCATTGTAGAAATAGTTTTTTATAAGTGTGCGGAAAGTAAACTCTTATCAAGAAAGACTGAAAAAAACTAAAATAAACGTACCCATAAATTCCAATTTAATTAGGGTTTTTCATAAGATGCATATTATAGACAAATAAATGTAATAATTAGCATCACGCGGGAGGTAACAAAACAGGAATAAAAAAAATTATAAAAAAGTTGCCCGACTGCCATTTCTAGTAATAGTGTTACAAAAATATCACCCTCTTGCGCATGCCTAAAATACCGCATTATAAGCAAAAACTAGCAGCTAATCGCTGTACCACTATAAATAAGAATGTTCACGAAAAGAAACTGTGTCAAAATCTACACTGAATACGGCAGAATTTGCTACTTTTTGTCTAAAAGAAATCATAGGTCTAAATAAATTTGTTAATTTTTGCAGAACTCGTAAAAATGCCTCCATGGAATAACAGTAAAATACTGCTATACTTTTTTTTATACAATAACAATCTACTTATCACGTCGATTATTTTGCATCATTATTATCAAAGTTAATTCGATTATTATAGCACAAAGAGTAGACCGAATGTATCAATATTATTTGCACTTAAAAAATTACAGCAATATACGCATTTAAAACGCTTTTTTTGACAAGCTTTATCTTTTGTTTTATCACGCGGACAATCCAAGGCTATTGTGACTTCGAAAGAAGGATTTATTGTAGTAGGTTTACCGTGGTTATTTTTGTCAGTTACCTAAATTTTCATTCTAGAGTTTTTGGTGAATTTTGTATAACCTTGCCCCTCTGTGCGTGCGTCGGTGTAGATACGAACCGTACCTGCCACTTCCGGCTCTTCTCGCCTCACCAGATCCTACATCAGGTTCTATTACAACCGTGCGGAGGCCTCTCATTGTCGTCAGAGCAACCTCCTTGATGTGAATATCAAGGGGAGTGAGACTAAGAATGACTTCCATGGCTCTGGTCGGTGTTGTTTTCAT